AAATAGTTAAGTTTTTTGTTAAATATCTGCCTAAGAAATTTCGTGTTCTCAACAACAGGTATGACAGAGTTATTGACGCAACCGACAGAAATGCATGCATGAACTTTTAGAGGAGGAAATTGTATGGCCATTTAGTTCGCCCCACTCCACTATTTTATTTACACTCTTTTGAAGTTGCCGCTCAATTACTTTCATGTCTGATCCTGAGCATGATACCTTTAAATCGTCAACATAAAGTGAGCCATGAACTGTAGATGGTAGTATGTTTAAGATGAGAGAAATATGAGCAATTAAAAGTATGCTGATTAAAAGATCCTTGCTGTTAATGCATAGGGGTGGCAACTCACAGGAATCGTCATCATGGTCGGCACCAGAACAACGAGCACAGACAGGTTGACCTCGGCAAGATGTTTTTGAATGCCCAAACCTTTGACATTGAAAACATTTCAAAGGGTTTGGGACATAAGGTCTAACCGGGAAGTTATGCCAAACCATTATGATTAAAGACGGTAGTTTTGGTGTATTAAAAGTAAGAATAAGGTGTTTCGTAGGGATGAGTTTTCCATCCCTGCGAATCCTTATCTTACAGACAGCAATGACATTTTGTTCTTTCAGTTCTTCTATAAGTATTTCCTTCAAATCATTGATGAATTCCGCCTCTGATATAACACCTCGACAGGTGTTGAGAGTGATTTATGAGGTGTAACATCAACTGCAAATGACCATAAGGTTGTGCACGTTTCTGACTAATTGTCTTCCTGTTGTGATGTGATTTGTATTAACAAGTCACCGGAATGTAGTTCCTTCACAGAGGCTAACTCTCCTGAAACGGAAATTAGGACCTTGTGAAACAAGAAGAGAGAAACTTTAGTAAATAAAGTATTTGGTACTTCAGGATTCGTTAGTTTAATTATGTAGTATTTAGCGTAATCATATGGTAAAGGGGTTGCTCCGCTGTTTTTTCTATGATGTGCGGAACTGAACACCTTACTATTTTCAGTCATAGAAAATAAAAAAAACCATTTCGACTACCAGCTGCATAATCCACGATGGAGTCCAGCTAAGGGGATGCAAGTAACAGAATGTAATCTGTTACTTAACACCGCTGCTGACCAATAGTTATACGCAGGGTCTGATTACCGAAAAGGCATAGGAAGCAAGTGCTTCCCCTGTAAAATTCTAGGGGGGCCCCCAAACGACTGAAATNGACCGCGAGTCACCCCTGAGGCAGCCTCCATCCTTAACGAGATGCCCAGTAGGTGACCCTGGGATTGACCCTAGCCAACAGATGACATTCGTGACTAGCTGATAGATGCATACAGGCTAATATGCATCTCCCGTTTACCTGAAGCACGGGCCAAAGCAGTGTGTTGGGGTACCAGGAAGCCCCTCAACTGCCAGGATCTCCTTTTTCAGAGACACGGGTCTCCACGCATGGCAAACACGAGGGTGGTTTCTTCCCATCTGGGTCCGTTACAACAGGGTGGTTATCGAACGCAGACGAAAAGCCCTCACCAGTAAATTCGGAACCATGACAAGGGGGAAGAGAAAGGAGGAGAAAAGAAAGAGGAGACGGGGGGACAGATCACTGGGGTTCCCCTTGCTATTGTGTAATCTGATACTAATATCGTTATGTATTTAATGCAATAAATAGAAAAAAAATCGCACGCTAGATTTCAAATTAATTAGAGATAAAAAAGGGATATATCGTATGAAAATGGTATGTATTGGTTAAAAATTCTAAGAACATTCAACATAATCTATCAAATTTTACTAAAAAATTAATCTTTGAAACAAATTAGAATGCGAATTTTGAATTCGAACGTGCTGTAAATTATTTAAAATTATGAAAAATGTTAAATCAGTATTAAGCTATTATAGCAATAAAAGCGAAAATGTATCTTTAAAAATTACTTCACTATGTTAATAGAAAATAAACATAATTAAAACAGAATATATCATTCATAAAAAATTACTAACTTCAATCACAAACTTAGTAAAGACAATAACACGTAAATACAATGATAATAATACTTAAATAAAATTCGCTAAATCATATTAAATTATATTATGTTATATTAAATCATATTATTCTAAATTACATAAAAACTATCAAAATTTTTAGTAAAGGAGAAATAACATTTTAATGGCTTAAAGAAAAAACGCAAAAAAAAGAATCTGATGGCATGGAAATTTTTTGGGGTGGGGCTAGTACCGTCTTTCGCATGGGCACCACCGGGAAAGCCCGAGGCCCCCAGGCACTCAGGGGGCCATTAAGAATCTCACTTTTTATAAATTGTATTTAAAAGAGAGCTAAAAAATCAACAAAATTGCCTTACATACTTTTTTAAGATAAATATATTCTGTTGTATAAAGTGTGTAATTTGTTTTTCTTTCTACAAATAGTGATTGATTATCATGCAAACAACAATAATTTGAACAGTTTATCATCAGGGAAACTTAATAAAAGCAACCGAAATCTATTTTTCTACGTTCCAATGAAGTTTTTATGTGAATTTAGTTTTTTCGTGTCTACTAAAAACAAATTTAATACAATTAAATTAAAATGTATTTAAATTTGTTCAAATTATTGCATATGTTGAAATGCTCTATTTCGTGTATGCGAAGTTCTTTAGTTCGATTTTAAGTTGTATGAAATGTTATAAGGTACCAAAGCATTTCTGTGCCCGGGGGCCCAGCGTGTTATCAAGACGTTCCTGGGGGGGGGTGCACGTACCTGCTTTAGGTCCTTTTCCCAGAAATTAAAGATTCAAAGAAATCAGAAAATAAATTGTTGCCAGTTTACTGTCAAAACTTGCCGCCAGTTCCATAAACTATTTGAATACTATGAAACAAAATTTTACTACTTTCACACTGAAAAATCTTTATCAGAAGGAGAAAATTAATGAAAAAGTAATTTAATTCATTGTTAGCCATTTTAATTTTTGTATACTTTAATTTTAAGTGAATATTAATGAAACTGATAGTTATGCGCTTTGGTATGAATCTTTCTAACGCAGATAAATTGCCTTTGTGTATCTTAAAACTTTCTAATTAATATTATTTATTATTATTTAATTAATGTTATTATTTTAATTAATATTGCTTAAAATATGTTAGTTTTCCCTAAAATTATCTAATGAAAATTTTCTCCTTGTAATATTTTTTTGTACGAATTTGGCAAAAAAAAAAAAAAATTAAATTGTTACGTTATTATTTTCTTTATTATTTTTCGAACTCCCCTAAAATCTATTCTAAAACTAAAAATTAAACATTGTCTTTATCATTATTATTATTTTTTTTTTTAAAAATTTAATTTAGATTCTTGCAATCTTAAAGATAAATAAATTTTGTGTCTACTCCAGATTAAATGTGCTATTCACATTTTTATGTTTATCCTATAAATCTAGAAGAGTTTATGTAAACAAGCTTTAAAACAATAGTTTATACATATGTATACAGATTCTTTCAAATGTATCTATATTATAAAGTATATCAATTAGTGAATGTATCCTATTGAGTAACAGGAAAAAAATGATTTTAATAAATGTTTTTATATTTTTTAATCTTATTTTTTAAAAAAAATTATGATTTAAGAAATACCTGTGGACAATTTCAAATGCAGTTCCTAAAAATTGTGCAATATTTTTCTTGTCCTTTACCAAGCATATTTTTTTATTATTATTGAACAATTTTTGCTCAGAATATTATATTAATAATTTTCTAGAGGAATATTTATTTTGCGATTTTTTTTTTAACAAATCTTATAAGAAAGATTGTCATCAATGAATTTATATGTTAGAAAAACTTAAGTTTTGAAAATACTGCACTTTTTTTTTTTATNTTTTTTTTAAAAAAAAAAAAAAAAAAAAAAAAAAAAAAAATCATATTTATTTTTGAAAATAATGAATACTATTTGAAAGTTTTACAATCTGAAGTCTCGAAATACTTCGCTAATTTATTCATAATTTATTTATTATTATTTTATAATTATAACTTAGCTAAATTATTTTGTCCATTTTTATGTTTATATGCGACGTTTATTTGTAGATAATTGCAGTGTTTACGTTTAGATTATTTCCATCTGGAATTTAAACGTATATCATACGATTCTGAAAGAATTCTTTAGAACCTATTTTAAAATTACAATTTTATGAATGCACCAATAAAATTTTAATTTCTTTATTTGTCTCTTTTCTGCCATGATATGACATATTTTTATTTGTTTAGTATTCGTTTCCTAATTAAAATGTATTTTTTCTAAGCTTCAAATATGTGATTAAATCCAATATTTGATATTGGATTATTAGTAGAAAATAATAAATTATGCAATTAAATGAGGTTTATTCTTTTGATATTAAAAATAGTTATGATGAATCAAGACTTAAAATTAAAAGAAAAAATTATTATTAAAATTTTCTATTATGAAATACACATTATATAGCTTCATTAAAAGCTTTTAACAGTCCTACAAGTTCATTTTAATGAGTTATATAACGTAATAAATAACATTGATTTATTCTAATAAAATGCTAAAAATTCCCCACTTAAGAAGATTTAAGTGCTATTAAAATAGTTAAAGCAAAAATATTTTACGTCGTTAAGAAATTTGAACTATTTATTATAGTTTTTTTGTAATACAAATCTGAATACCGCGTTATCTTATGGTTCGCTAGCACTTCCGAGTCCGACGCCACAAACCTACTGAGAGGCCTTGACTCTCGGTGGCTTCAACATAGCTTGGCGCCAGTCGGGCAAAATTTGGCGTTAGAACAGACTTAGCACTCCCCCAATTTCAATGCCACCGCGGCACAGATTTGTAGGGTTAACGTAAAAGAATCTTGGCTACCAAAACATTTGCTTGATGCATCGAACTCCATACTTTTTTTGATCTTTTGAAATTAAAAAATAACATGGTGTTGGTTTAATTTTTATGTATTTAAAAAACATTTCATGAATTTTAAATATAGTTTTGTTGTCGATTGTTGAGTTTCATATGGAAAGCTTTTAAGCTTCTACTTTCACTTATACTTGTTTACGGTTACGCCACATCATCTCGTCTGCTATCGTGTTTGATTTGGTTGTTATCAAAAATTTTAAACGTTGGCACAAAAGTGTCTCTCTCATTCCACATTGTTTTTGATTAAACTGTCGAAGCAGCTTAAAGAACAAATAGTGTCATCGCTTTCTATAGTTCATAAATAAAATGTTATTGTTATTTTAAATAAAATATTTTACTTTTATTGTAAGTAAATTTCAATCTTACAATCAGCAGTTCTTCCATATTGAGTGAAATTCAATATTTATTGAATTACTTCTCTAAAAAACTTTAAGGTTTTCATCATGACAACGCAGCAGTCTGTTCCGATTCAAACTGGCTATGGTATTGTGAAGCAGGTTAGTCTGAAAATTAAAACTTTTTATTGGTAATGGTCACTGACCTCACAAAATTTGATTTAGCCCCTTAATAATATTAATATCATTTAACAGGTTACGATTAATTACTAAACGTTAAATATGCTGTCTAGAAATTTTTGAATGATAATTTTAATACATTGTCAGAAAACATTCATGTTAGTATTTACTTTAGAAATTGATATATTAAAAAAAGTGGAATTATTTAAGGTGCTTGAGTATTAGTATGGCCTGTTTTTACTTGAAATAGGACTAATTTAACATGACATAGTTAAGAAAACCACTCTCATGCAAAACTTCAATTCAACTTTTTAGTATTAATTCTCTTAATATATACCCTTATAAATGAAACATTTTATTAATTGAAAAGAAAGAATTTTTATAGCATAACTGAATATTTAGCATGATTGGCCCACAACTGAATATGTGATGCATGTCTAAGAGCGAAATTTAAAACTTGTTTTAATAATTTTTACAATGTTTTTCCCAAATTTCTCTATTTACTCTTTTTTATTTTAATATATGAAAATAATTGCAAATCTTATTTTCTGCACTTAATTTAAAAATTAAATTTCAATGAAATCATTAAAAATGGAATGAGGACTAGTTTCATAAATGTCGTTAACCTTCAACAATTTAAAATATTTAAAAGAGAACAACCAAACCCAGGTTTGCGAAAATTTTTTGGTCCTACTTTGGCTAACCCTGTTAATAACTGCAAGTATATCAATACTTACATTATGATAAAATTGTTTTTTATTTATTTTATTGATAAATTTTTTTTTAAGAAAGGTAAATAATTGACACTGTCACCAGTGTTATATTCGATGATAAACAATCATGCTATTTTTAAGGTCCTTAATTTTTTGAAAAAGTCCCTGATTTTTTCGAAAAAGTCCTTAATTTTTCCTTTGTTAAAAGAGGGAACCCTGCTATAATATGTACATTCTATTTTCTCATCTTTATATAGATACATTTCCATAAATATTTTGTTAATTATTAATTTTGCAGGTTCAGTAAAGTAGTAATTACTGTTAAAATGTATTTTAAAAGTTAAACTAAATAATATCTTACATTTTCAAACAGTTTTGCAGAAATTGTAGTATTTTGTAAAATTCACAGATTTTTCAATAAAATATCACTAATTCATTGAAATTCAGGCAAACTTGCAACCTTACTAATTGTTGGAAATATGATCAATAATTGTGTCAAACAGCCAAATCTGAGCTCGTTGTTTATACCTAGTTAAATCACTTCATAGATGACTTCTTAAAAAATCCATGTGGGACGTTCATTGAGAGTGGTAACATAACCACACTCGTGAGACAATGTTTTCCTGATGAAAGAAGCCAGTTACTATTAAACTTTTCACCTATTGTAGAATAGTTTATGCAAGTTGTAATTGGTCGATGATGCTGAATCTTGATGTCTTAAGGCCGAGACTAGCTCTTTTCTGAACTACATGCACATATAATTCTTTAGGAAGTGGAGTCCATGCTCCAGCATGTGTCTAGGCTAAGTGTAGCAAATAGTAGAGTTCAACTACTGCATCAATCACTTTGCAATTTCATTGACTGATAAGAGAAGGCCCATAGCCAATAACACTTACAACTAAGTTCACATGTGTTAAAAATTTCTTATATCTAGATACAACTCAAGTGCTCCATTTTTTTTGCTAGTTATTTTTTATGTAATTGGAATTAGTATTGAATTTTAAAAAGAATTACAAGTAAGTAGTCTTTCAGTTGTTTATAAACTTAGACAGATTTGTAATTTATTTTTAAATTGTCCCAAAATTTTGTGTTCATAATGTTTATCTTGGTAAGAGAGTGTACTATTTTGTGTATGGATAGTATCAATCTGCTAAAATTATATCTATTGAAACCTGCTCACTCCAGGGATAGTCTTTTGTTTATCTTGAAGACAAGTTTTATTTTGGCAATCAAAATTTCTGTACATTTAAAATAACTAAATTGTTCCAATTTTTCTACAAAAATATTGTTTTTAAAAAATTTAATGTTTTAGTTTTTTGCAATTATAAAATTTTTTTCAAGATATAACTTTTGAGAAAAATGGATGTTTTATCATATTGCTTGAATGTTAAAAATGCTATTTCATAGTTCTGAATAAATTCAGAAACATTTTTGGCAATATAATTTTAAAAGGTCACTAATAATGTTCATATAGATAAATCATAATATTTGATGCCTTGATATTTCTTGATGGTAGTAGGTATTTGACAATTTAATCTATGGGTAAAACTGTCACTTGGTGAAAACTTATAAAATTAAGATTTGTTTGCATCTGTAGTTGTCTGATAAATGTAAAATTAATGTTGCATTTAACAGTTTATGCATATTTTACCTTAAAGGTAATATCTGGAGATACTATAGTCCTTAAAGGTCAGCCGAAAAGAAGTGGACCACCTGATGAAATAACTATTATTTTAACTGGCATTCAAGCGGGAAAATTAGCCAGGCGACCGACAACCACAGCAGAGAGCACAAAAGATGAGGTAATATATTTATCAAATTGCAAAAATTCTTATCTATCATATGGGTAAAGGACAAGATTAGTGGTTGCTACTCAGTATGTGTGGCAACTAAATAAAATAAAGTGATTTTTTTTGATTGAAAGAAAACAAAAACAAAAAAAAAGAACAGATTTTTTGATTTAAATCAGATTTTTTTTGATTTAAATTGGATTTTTTTGACTTTTATTCAAATACACTGTAAGAACTTTGATTTATGATTACAAAAACTTTATGAATGTTTAATCAAAATTAAATTAATATTAAAACCATACCTTGCCAACTTTCAATCCTTTCATGGATGATATTCCCCAGTGATAGTAAAATAAAATTTAAATTACAATTTTAAGCAGAAATATTTGCTGTATTTTGAACAAGCTTATTCGGATTACTGCAATAGTATTACATATTATTATATATGCTTAATTTTTTTAAAAATAGTGGTGGATCAAAAATATTATAAATTAAGTTTATAAATGCAAGGAACATATAGAAAGCATACATTTTACTATCTCTTTAAATATAGAAATAAAATTTTACGCTAAATGCGTAAAAGTTGGCAGGTATGTAAAACTATATTATTACAATATTTTAGAAGTTCTATCTACCTAAAACAATTTTTCATTATAATGCATAGCTTGGAATGCATAGCAACCATTTTTAAACAAATGCAGAATTGAAATTTAAAGACTGAATGAAATAGTGTATGTAAACCCCATTTTTGGCATATTAGGGCAATTTCTTTTTAAGATAACCTCAAGCTTTAGAAATATACATTTTTCGCCAATGAAATATAATGTAGATTTTAATTCCATGCTTTTTCAATCAAAAGGTGGAATTTTAATTAACATTATTTGTATTTTTTTGTGAAAAAAATTCATATTTATTAATTACTTTCTAAAGCTATGCAAGTTTATATTAAGACAGCATTAAATGTTTACTTTAATCTGTACTTTCAATCTCAAGATTCAAAAGATTTTTAAAAATGTAATTTCAAATGTGTTGGAATTTAACACACACCAAGAAAGAAAGTAATTTCGTTAACTAAAATTTATTAATGCAGCAATTTATTTAATATAAAATTTAAAACTAAGAATAGAAAATAATAAAANATATATATATATAAATCAGTTGATTTAAATTGTGATTTAAATCAACAAACCCTGCTTACTAGCGACCCCTTTTTCTCATTTGACACTCCATCCCCACCATTTCTTACTTCTGTTAAATGCACCCGTATAATGTGCATAAAAAAGTTTTTTTAATAACTTCTGTTTATTTTTTAATTCAATGTTTGCATGTTGTATGACAACGATTTTACTATAAGGAGTCTTTAAGTGGGCTAAATTTAAGCACAATAAAATTTAACCCTAGCTTTTTTTTAAAATTTATTTAAATGAAGGAGTTTTATTTCTTATTCTGATATTTTCTTTAATGACTATTTATGACTTTTTTTTGACGTTTTGTTTCAACAATGTTCAATGTGTTTCATGTTTTGTTCAATGTTGAAACAAACTGTCTTAACTTTTCTTTTAATGAGGCCTTTAATGTAGAATTAATTATGGATGCAAAGAAATTCCTCAAAGAGTAGGCTTATGTTTTGTTTCTATGCTGAAAGATGAAACTGAATAAAAAGGCATGTGCAGTATTTTGTCTTTGTCGCACCTGTACCAAATAGCATTGAAGGGGAAAGACAAAAATAGTTAAATAAACCCCTAAAAGATAATTTTCTTTTCATTTTTTTAACCGTGTTAATCTTAATTTTAAAGTATATTTCAAATTCATTTTGAAGATTTATTATGTTAACTGAAAAAAATTTTTTTTGAATAATTTTTTATAACAAATAGTTTTAGATTTTAAAAATGTTAAAGTTATTAATCTTTTTCATTTATTTATACTAGTTTGGATTTAATGCAGGGAATTATCTCTGACATAGCTGTAGCCTTTAGAAAAAATTTGTTATCCCAACATAACTTTAAATTGATTCTTTCAAATTTTTTTTTTAAATTAAAAGAAAAGGAAGAGAAATTAATATATTCCAGTTAAGAAAGATTTCAAAATATAAAAGCAAATAAAAATAATAGTAAAACATCCAATTTCTTGACACTCCAATTTTTTTCATTTTCACGTATATATATATATATATATATATATATTCCAGTTGATTTTATTCACATTATTTTAATTAACATTAATCTATGTTATAAGAGTATTGAAAATAAGAATATGCATTTATTTAGTTCTACACATCAGAAACAGGAATTAAAATTTTATAAATACATATAAAAATTTTTTTTCAATATGTCAAAAATTCTATTTACTCAAAAAATAAAAATATTGAGAATGATATCAACATTACTGTCTATTTAATTATTTAATAAATAATAAAAAATGTGCATTAGAATTTCTTTTCATTTTACATAATTTTTTAGCTTTAGTGAAACAAGAATGTCTAGTTTTATCATGCGCACTGAAATTATGTTGCTAAATTAAATTACATTAAGTGAAATTTGAAGTATAAGCACATAGATTGTAGTGATGATGATAATGGACAGATATATTTCAATGAATTTTTATATATGGTTTTAATTCTTGAGGATTCAGATGGGCAATTTTGCGTACTGCTTTGGTTTAGGCGTGCAATGTATTTTGCTTTGTTTTCTGTTTAATTAGCATACCAGTATTATTAAGTAGAAATCAAATATAAATACTGAATATGTAGAAAGGATTGCAGATAATTTATTAGGTGAAGCACATGTTTTATAATATCAAATAGACTCATCAAAATCAATTATTAGATAAAATATGCCAATTGAATTAGCATTTTAATAAATTTGGCTATATAGGAATCCTTTGAATAACTTATTTTACTGTTTAAGGATATCATATTTATTTTAACGTTTAATTTTTTTTAATAATCCTTAATGTATGCTTTTCAAAAGGAAGTTTAAGAAATTTAAAGTAATCGGAAACCTTGTAAAAAAAATTTAAAACCTTGATTATTTACTTTTCATGGGACAGCAAACGATAAATATGGGCCAACATAAACTATCAAATAATTGCTTGATGAAAAATAATAAAGTAATGACATTAAAATATAAAGAATTAACTATTAATAAATGTGCTTCCTATATACACTTTTTCCTACTAAGATTTCCTATATGTTTTCATCGGGGTTGAGATTTCTTTTCGAAGAAACCTGCTTCTTCCAATACACTGGAGGGAGCCGTGATGGCTCAGGGGATAGAGCGTTCACCTTCCAATGAAGTGAACCAGGTTCGAACTCCGGCGATGGCTGGTTGATACGAATACCGTATCCGGCTTGCACCGACCACATCGCTGACGTTAAATATCCTCTGTGGTAGTCGGATCATGGGTTAGTCTCCTTGCCGTTAGGCTAACCGTGGGAGGTTCTCGTGGTCTTCCTCTCCATGTCACGCTAATGCGGGTTAGTTCCATCAAAAAGTCCTCCACGGAGGCAAATTTCTCGCAATACTTGATCTAGGAGTTCCCTTGTTTTCTGGATTGGGTTCAAAATTACAAGGCTACATAGTTGAACATTAACCGTCGTAAACCCAAAAAATGGGTCGGCTGTTCACAGACGGTTAGAAAATACACTGGAGGTAAAAACTAGAAGAAACTGGGCAAGGAGATACAAATGTTTAGAAAAAACTTATTTAAAAAATAACCATATTTTAGTTTTATACAGAATTGCGAAATCTGTGTAACCTATTATGTAATGTAATTTATTTTGAATTAGAGATTTAACTATCCTTATCTTTCTTAATAAATTTGTACACACATATCTTGTTAATTAAGTGTATTAATATTATTTATCAGTTTATTGCCTATATTAAAGATGAAATTATCTAATAATATATATATATATATATATNTTATATATATATTTCATGGCCAATTTTCTTAAAGTTAGATATTTCTTATTAATTTTAAATATTTTAAATTTAATTAATTTTCTTGTTATAAAAATTTGTTATATAGCAATTAAATTACAAGAACTAATTTTTCACTTTTAAGTTATAATAATAGTTAACTCCAAGAACTCTGTAAATCTATCAACGTGTGGGTAAAACTTTTTCTTTAATACTAATGTCTGGAAACTTAAGAGTTTTATTATTATTTTTAAATAAAATACCTTATGAATGAAAATTCCACTTTAAAATGTTCAAGAATTTTCCATTATCTCCAAATCAAATATTAAAACAATCTCTTAAGTTGTTTATTACTTAATCAATTTTTAAAAAAAAAATTATATAATTAATCTTGATATTGAATCTTGATCAATTATTTATTTTAATTACATATTGAAACTATTGTTGCTTTTTGGTTTTCAGAATCAAAATAAATTTATCTTGAACTTTAAAAATTTATTTCTATTTAATTTCCTTTTTATTTTATTTATGAGATTTTTAAAAGAAAGAAGAAAGCATTGCTCTGCTTTTGAAGCAATACTTGAATTAGTAAATGATCTAATCTAGCTAAGTTTTAACTTATTGTATTGCACGGTTGTGTCACAAAATGTTTTTTTTTAAATAATTGTTTTATTAAAATTATTCAAAACATTACTACATGGATGAAAATAGCATCTTTATTATTTTTTTGAGGGGACTATTTTTAAGTAGGATCTAAATATATGAGGCAGTTTTAAATTTATAGCTTTGCTTTCTATTAATTTTGTTTTCTAGAGTTTGTGGCCTTCAAAATTTTTCCAAAATTAGTTATACATTCTTGATATTACTTATGTAGTTTCTTCAGCACGTAAGATTTTTTTGCATTTTTAAAATTTTCGATCAATTAAATGATGAAAGCAGAGTTAAACGGAATTTGTGTCAGCCATTAAATTAATAAAAAATTATGAATATGAAAGAAATTCTGCGTGCAGAAGAAACTAGATTTGTTAGTTGGTTTTGAGGAAAAGTTAGTTGCTAGGTTTATAAAGCTGTCTTGTTTATAAATAGGATCGAAATTGAAAAAGTTATTGTGATCATGACTATTAGAAATCTGCTGTAATTTTACGAAATTATTCAATTTTATAAATGTAGGAGTTGATTCATCAAAAACTGTTTGTAATAACTTTGCTTTGTGCTTATTTTTTCTTATTTTGTTTAATTTTTATAAAAATTTTTTTAGCCATATGCGTGGGAAGCTAGAGAATTCTTACGCCAAAAATTAGTAGGCAAGAGAGTTTTCTTTACTTTTGAGAAAGCAAAAGGTGGTGAAAAGTCTTCCACTGGTGGTGCAAGAGAATATGGCATTGTATATAATGGGACAGGTAGTGTTTATCAATTCATTAGTATTTGCACTTTGAAAATTGTTCTCTAAAGCATTTTTGTTTTGTGATGTTTATAAATTGCACTTCTTTATGAACATTTAATTTGAAAGCTTCTGCATGTGCTTAACACGTTTGCTGCTGATCCTGCATGGTGAACGTTAAGAGTAGCACCAGACATTTATGCAAACACCATTTGTGTAAAATTTGTAACCACCTTGGTAAATTTTTTGCTATTACTCATTATATAAAAAAATGGTCTTTTGGTCTTGCTAGAACATGTGCGTTTCGTAGTTCAGCCTTTTTGTAACTTATATTATTCAATAAAGAATATTGAATACTTAAGTATAAAAACAAAAATTATTAACACATTTATTTCATGATTAAATTAATTTTTTACTTGTTGAGCTTAATAAAAAGAAAGAAAACAAAAAGCCACTGAAATTAGGAAGCTATACATGAATCACTTTTTTTCTTAGATGGTCATTATCAAGTATGTAATTTGATCAGTATTTTCAGTGATGAAGTGAAAGAAGTATGTTTTAATACTCCTTATTTTCATATTATTATACTTTGTAAAATGAAAAGTGCATGAAAGCAATATTATTTAAGCGTACAAGAGTTGATAGGTAATTTTTAATAAAATATTTATTAAATGTTTGCATTGAGATGTTTTTTTCTGAGTGACTTATATTATGGAAAGCCAGTATAAGGCAAAACACTGTAAGTCAATAACTAGTTTTATATTTTCAGAAATCTGCTGAATTTATAGAAATGTATGCTGGAATGTTAATAATAAATGTAGAGTTTATAAAAATTAAAACATTTTTAAAAAAGATCAGTTTTTTCGAATAAATTGAATCAAAATCAAGCGATGGCGAATTGGCCGAAACTAGTTACAAGAGTCGATAAATTGCCTGCAGAAACTTTTTTGTTTTATTTGAGTACCCTCTGATGGTTGGTTATCTTTTTGCACTACCCATTTATTAAGTTTGGAGAGTGAAATATGCAGGGGAGGAATGAACAAAGCAAGAGTTCTTTAAATAAACTTTTATTTGGTGAATATCAAAATGTGAATTAAAGTGTAGATGATTTAAATGAAACATTAACAAAACACAGCCCATTTATAGTTGATCCCTTTAAGAACCTTTTTGCAATTTGGACACTCTTTTCTCCCTTTTTTAACATTTGGATTTTAAAGTCTCTTCTAAAAAAAATTTATCAAATGACCTTCATGAACTGATGCTAATTTTCTATTTTCATTCTTTTGTCAAACAAGAAAGGGTAGTTTCTTCTACATTTTCCAGTTTAGAATGATTTGTGTATTAATTGACTGAATTCTTGTAAAACTTTGCAATTTAGTATTGGTTCAACACAGAGGACAAAATTGTACAAAAGCACATTTAAACTTAGTTTCCAAGGCCAAAGTTTTGCATAATCAAACCATATTAGCATTATTAAATGTTTACTTGACATTTAAAAATACACTTGTAATAAGTTGTGATGGCCCAATTGTTAAAGCAGCTATTAGATTGATCAACGTTAGTCTTCTGAGCATACGAGAGAAGTCATTGAATGACACTGTGTTGTGCAAACTGCATAAAATTGAGAATGCTTTTCGAAGCAATGGGTTACAAGAATGACAGTGCTGGTAATTTTGCTATTTTATTTTTTTGATAGTAAGCAGCAAGATGAGGAAGTTTTTTGAAAATTACAATAGGATATGAATATTAAAATTTATAAATTTATGAAGCTGACTTTAGGACCGGCTGCTGCTAGAATTCTTAAGTAATGGGCAGTAGTCATTAAGTACTTTCTAAAATTCTTTCCTTTGCGTCGTAAATTTATTCTGGCCTGGTCAGGATTTATTCTTAAAAAATATTTTTTGGAACCATTAACAAACAGTCTGTTGTGATAAAGGGCGTTAACAGGGATTTAACAAGTAACAGGATTTTTGTCACTTTATTGATAAAGGAAATTCACATTATTGATGGACCAAGCTTAAAAGTTGTTAAAGCTTAAGTTGGACCAAGCTTAAAGTTGTGTGACATTTGTGTTTGTAGTAAAACAGAAAGATAAAATGAAAAAGCAGCTGGCCAATTATTTACTAAAGCTACAAAGAGGTTAGACAGTGATATTAAACAGCAGAATATTGAAGGTATCATTCTTAAAATGTTAGAGATATTGTAAAGAAATCAACCAATATTACTTCGTACTTTAAACTGCCAAAAATTTTCATAAATAATTTGAACTTAGGATAATGAAAAACATAAAATCTTTTTAAATCTAATGAAATCCTGAAATTAAATATTTAAAAATGAATTTTTCTTTGCTACTCATTAAATTTTAATTATAATGTTTATAACATTGTTCTGCAAGTATTTTTCTTATTACACATTCTTTTCATGAAGCTTAAAATTTTCATAGTAACCCCCCTCTTTCTCTCGCATATGCACACACAATTCCTACCTAAAAAAACATCCAGATCATTTCAATATTCTAACAAAAAAGCACTGTAGGGAAGTTTACTCATCTGACGCAGCTATATTAAATGTTTGTAACTATCAAAAATTGTTTTGTTAAACATACTGAGAAATTTTCTTAAATTTCAAAATTTAAAGACTCGAACCTAAAAATTTATGTTTCACTCATTGAAATTAACTTGATTCAAAATTTATCAAAAACCTAAGTCTCAATTACTACGAAGGATTTAATCTTCATGAAATACTACAATTTAATGCAATGTTGTAATCTTTAAGAGGAATTACTATTTCTACATTATTAAATTTACGATAATTAGAGATACGACAGTTATTTACGTCCTCACTTACAAAAATTTAATCCATCGTTATAGAGCAATATCTATAAGATTAACATAATTGATTGGGTATATAACAAAACTTCGATACAATAACAGGATTGCTACTTCCCAGGGAGAACCTGGAAAATACAGGGAAATTAAAAATCATTTAAAATAACAGGGAATTTTCAATTTTTCCTTACAAACTGGTTAAATACACGAATTTTCTTATCTTTAAAAAACTTCCAATCTGTCAAGGTGAGATCTATGGGATATTTAAAGATGATAGTTCAACTATACTGTACTATTTCATTTAGTATAGCAATATTTAAATGTTGAGCTGTTCCTTATTTTTCTTTAGTTTTTCCAGCAATTAGAACTTGTATTGTTACTCTAATATAACTCATACAAGTGCACAGTGAATGAGTGTTTCTTTTTAATATATTGTGTGTAATAAGTGCAAGAAAAACACAGTGAATTTTTTTCCCAGATATGAATGACAACTCTGAATAATGTACTCACACCATGTCTGTATTAACTCTTTCCTCAAGGAGAATTCACTATGTTAATACCACTATGTCTATTAAATAGTATTCATCAATACAATAAAAAACTATTAATCTTCATAAAATTTTAATCACATATTTATTTAGATTAATATGGAAGATAATAAACTTTCACAAAGCAAAAAAAAAAAAAAAAATTATCAATCAATCTTAAACAAAGCTTGATTTTAACCTCATTCACTAATCAAGCTCAAATTGAAATTACTAATTTTTTTAAACAATCTCTAAATTTAAGCTTCAATTCAATCTTCAACTACTCGTTTGATTTTATCTAAGCTCTATCTAATTTCTTCAAATGGAAATTTAAGGCATTTGTTAAAAGAACATAAGTAGGCTTACTCTATTGAATATTATTTATTTCATTACTTTACCATTATCACACATATTGAATCAAAAACTCTTAATTTTAGACATTGGTAATATTCCTATATTCAAACTTCAACATGCATATTCCAGAAGTACCAAAAACACAACCTTGTTTTCAAACTAAATTTGGAAGTTTGAATAGTTATGTGTGACATCAGTACATTTGAAACAAGAGTTCTCCCTAGGAATAAAAAAAGGCAGGGTGCTTCCTCATAGAAAAAAGCACTCACCACTGTTAAAATTTAGCAAAATGTGTAATATTATGTAATAACTGAATTTAATCCTTAAGAATTTTTAAATTATCGTCTTATTCTATTTTATGTTTATATTTCAAAAAGTAATTCTCATCCATTATCAAAATAACAAAAAACAAGATAATCTTTGATTTTATAAAAATATGGTTTTTGCATACTTTTTGATTTTGGAATGATTCCATTTTTGCAGATTTGATTATAAGAAACATCTGATTTTATAATCCAGTGCTTTTATCAGCAATGATCACTGTATTTAAGTAACTTGCCAAGAATTGCACTCCAGATCGCAATCTAAAGAGTAGACCTTTTCGCAATCTGAAACTTTTCACTGAAATTTTTATCTAAGTCTTATCTTAAATTTTCATTGTACTCCTCTTTTAGCTTTCTATAATTTTTTTTATCTCTTTAATCTAAATAACATTGGTAACAGTTTTTGAAATAACTTATTTTAAGTTTTGTATTTCATTTATAGATGCCAATTCTGAAAATGTTGCTGAATCTTTAATTAGTGAAGGTCTTGCAAGTGTGCGATCAGCAGCATCAAGAAGTAATGAGTAAGTATTTTAAAAATGGATCCCAGCCAAAACATTATGTGAGGGTTCAGAAATATGGCCAGTGGGGAAAAAGGTCAACACAGAAGTGATAGTGATTCTTTTTTAAAATTTGCTGCAAGTTTGTGGTCCATTTTCATTTGAGGAGTTGTAAGCAGCTGGTAGAATAATGCTCAGTACGTTTCTTGAAGCTGCCGACAGTTTGGGATTCAGAGAAGGTGTTGACAAATCGAAAGACATATTTACCAAGGTGGCTAATCATATGATGCCTAAAGAGCTTCACATTCTCCCACTTATTGATGGCTTGCTGCCAAAGTAATGCAAAAAAAATAAATTGTGGAATAAATTTCAAAACCGCGTGTGTTGTTAATTAGGCAAAGATAAAACTGCATAGGACTTTGGTTTACCATATGTGGCCGCTATAGAACCATTTCATGTTGATGAAGTTACCTCAGAGGAACACTTCGAAATTGCTCAAGGAATGATTTCTCTATTCTGCCTAGACAAATTGTTTTTTATTGATGGCCCCAGTGGTACTGGAAAAACATTTCTCTACAAATGTCTATACCATCAATGCAAGCATTTGGATAAGAATGTTTTATATATGGCTTGGATAGGCATAGCAGCCATACTCTAGCTAAAGGGTAGGAGCAGCTAAGCCTAACTTGTTTGGATTAGAGATTGTGTAATGGCACATGTTTAATTGTTCATAGAATCACCAAAGATATGTTATTTTGCACAATCATGACCAGGAATAAAGCAGGGCATTCAGACTGCATTCCAAGACTAACTCTGATTACCAGTAACAACAAAGAATTACTTTTCATATTGCACCAAACACAATTTTCTGTCAGACTGTCATTTGTGATGACAATTAATAAAGCTCAGGGCCTAACTTTTGAGAAAATGGGAGTGTATATTGATTTAAATTTTCCTACATTTGGATAACTATATTTTGCTTTATGGAGATGTGGAAATATGTGTGGCATAAAAATTAAAATTTTTAGGGCAAAAGATTAGAATAAAAGCTCATCAATTACAAACACTGTTTTCGCAGAAGTTTTGTTACTAACATTTTGATAGGTTGATTTTTTTTGTATGCAATATTCTACTGGTGCACACTGAAGTTATGTAGATAAGGTTCTGATAGATTATTGATTTTTTTTGTATATAGTATAATATATTCTACTGGTGCACTCTGAATTTATGTAGATAAGGTTATATAAGCTTAAGTTACAAAAAGAAATCGCAAAATATTCATTTTGTTAGTGAAGCAAACAGAAAAAATAATTGCATAGCTATTACTGGGGGTTGGTGAGCAGTAGCCAGCAGTGGGCTCTGTTTCCTAGTATGTACTGGAATGTTAAAAAAAACTTCAATCCAAGAAAGTTGACAGTTCCAAGTGTTGATAGTTTAACTCGCAAAATATAAACTGATTATTCTTATTCTTTCTTTTTGGGCTGTGCCGTTTAGTCACTTATTTCTTTTATTTTTTCCTCTATTAATGATAACTAAACATAAAATAACTTTTGAGATCAGTATTTATTATTGTAAGTTCAAAATTATGGTTTTCTTAAAAAGTACACATTAGGACTCTTTTTACATTTGCAATTTGTTTAGTTTTAAAATTTTTTAAAAGTGTATTAATTGATTTAGTTGACAAATATTTCTTTAAAATTTCAGATACATCCAGAAACTAAGAGACCTTGAGGAAATTGCAAAAACTTCTGCCAAAGGTAAACATGGGCCAAATGCTGCAGAGCATGTTAGAGATATCAGATGGTCTATTGATAATCCACAACTTTTTAAAGATACTTATCACCAAAAGCCTCTAAAAGCTGTTGTAGAACATGTTGTTGATGGTAGTACTGTTAGAGTGCTTTTATATTCAAACGAATTTCCAGAATATTATTATATTAAGCTGATGTTGTCTGGGATAAGAGTAAGTAAATATTATCAGTATTTTTAACTGAACAATATTAATATTTTTTTTAATATTAAGCAGGGTTTGTAATAGTCCTAGTATTCCTGATTTTTCCTGATAAAAACTATTTGGTTCTTATACGTCCTGATTTTTAGCTTTTTGTCCTGATCTTCCTGATTTTTGTATGTGTTCAGAACAGTTTTATAAAGTGGAAGTTTTGGACTTTTGGTCAACTCTTTGTTGAGGTTTGGTCATTAAATGAGAGGATCTGAAACATGAGGTGATTAGATTCCCCAGTTTGAGAATTGAACTCCAATGTCAAATCACGGCCATCATATTCAGGACTTGAAAAACTGTAATGGCAGAATATCAGAAGCACATTAATTAGGTCTAAGGTGAATTCTATAACAATTACACTTTTTGTTTTCTGTATGAATACATTAAATAAACTTTCATTTTGTTTGGAAACTGGGACAGGTTTCAATTCTCTTACCTTTTTTATCACAGCATTTCCAGGATGAATTTACTGCCATAATTTTTTATAGATTTAGATTTCACTAATTTCTTTCTCTGCTGGTTCTGATATTTTAAACTCTGGAATCTGATATCTGAAACTCTGGAATTTGCTTAAGTTGCATAAATGGTAGTTTGTTTTCTATTCATCAACAGTTTAGTTGGATAGTATGATGTCCCTACAAGTGGCATTGCATGATATAATGAAGCTAAATAGGGATATTAGAATGTTGTGATCTAGCTAGAGTCTTGTGAGCATTTAATAATGTGACTGAAATGTTCTACCTGTCTATTTTATTTAGGCTATTTTACGCTAACTCGGTTTGTCTAATTTTCTAATTTCTCACAAAGCTGCCAAATTTTTGCAAGAATTGAAAGGGGGACCTCAATCACTTATTACTTCTAGAGGAATACTATGCTTTGCGAAAATCGATTATATAGTAGGTATCTCCACACTTGCTTGTAGACAACTAATCATTTACATCTCAATAAATTTTGAATAACAATCAATCATCTGGGATCTTAATCAATCTTATAGGTTTTTTTGAGAAGTACCTATTTTGTGAAAATTAAAAATTATATTAGAAAATCAACACAAAAATGTGGTAATGTAAAATAATATTTAAAAAAATTGCTACTACTAATAAAAATCATTTGTGACTGGTAAATATATATGTATTGTTTCTCATATATTCAAAAACAGTTTTGCTATTGTAAAATTTTGAGCTTAAAAATTGAATCCAAATTTAAAAATCCATGAAAATTATTGTCCCTAGTTAAATTTAAATTTAATAAAAACATGCATTTAACAGTACCGTATTTTTCATCGAAAGCGCCGCACCTCAATAAAAATGAAATTTTTTTAAAAAAAAGTTATAGTAAGCGCCGCAATGGCGCTAGACCGCGCATATCAGCATTCTTTTAGAAGAGACATTGAAATTACCATTTAGAATATCTGTATAATAAAAAATTAAATTTTTTATGCATTTCATAAGGTCACCAGATTCATGAGAATAC